AATTATTGAAATCGGACTAAAATAACGGCCGCTTCTCATATAACGGTAAATTTCAGAAATGCTTGAAACTTCAATATTTCGAAATTGAAGGACGCTAATTTACTCAAAATTGATACACCCCGGCTTACCATCTAGCGGAAGGTTTCGGAAAGGTGAAAAAACATATTTAATACTTGCGCCGGGTATTTAAAGTTCGGCTCCGCCCGAACTTAGACTTTCTTACTTGTTCATATTTGTACCAATTAAATCCCGATTTTCAGTGTTTTCTTTATTAGTTTAACAAGAGCATTTCCCTACTTGAATACTTTACTTGAAAACTTTCCCTATTGACATTCTCGCCACCGTATATATTTTGCGTATACATTTTTGCGATAATTTTCTAGTTTTTTCTCTTTGTTTTGTTTTAAATAAAACTGTCTTAAAAGATGTTATGTCTTTTTATTCTAAAAACAAAATTGTATGTTCGGATTCGATGCATTACAAATGTCCCCATTTTTGTCCACAGAAATCTGGTCACCGTACCTATAGTGCTTTATGTAGTAGAGCACTTTTGAATAACATTGCTCAGTCACTCAAATTTATTATGTTTTCTTTTTTGTTCCTATCTTTTTAAGTACTCTAAAATGTATGTTATTAGATGCATAATTTTGCTAAAATATTTCAGATCCTCCCTCCGGCAGCAGAATATGAAAATAGGACGCTAAGAACCTAACAACATAAAAAAAATATTCATTATTGCAAAAACTGGATGAGCTACTCCGAAATCCGTGATTTATAAGACTGTTTAGCTGTAGGTTTAGGTCCTTATATCAAAAAACATTCATCTTGCACAAGAATGAAAAAAAAGATATCCAACCTCATGAAGAATAAGCCGAATGTCGTACTCAGTTTTTAAATACAACTAACCAGAAAGTTACCCACGCGGACTAAAGTGACTATTTTTCACATATTTTCAAATTTATTCGTTAGGATTTTCCCGATAGTAGTAGTTTTTCCAAAATTAAAATACAGTATTTTTTGCTTTGCTGCCTCTATGCTTAAGTGCACATTTAAGATACCTACCCCAAAATGCACATCAGAGGCATTATTTTTAAAATTTATAATTATTATTATTATTTATTTTACCTGCACTGGCCCTATTTTGCAAATCTCGCAGAACAACGAAAACGGCTATTTATGTAGTTATATAGATAATTAGATAACAATCGGTAAAAATTTCGCTTGTAGAAATTTCTACATGGTAAGTGCTCCGCCAATATTTGGTTTCATAGGGATTCGGATACCTTCCTCATTGAAATAGTAAAGAAAATTCGCTTAAGTGCCTTTTTCGGTTACGTGCACAAGTTTTTCGTGCAAAGGAGGATGTGCTGCTAAGCAAAATATACTGTACTTAAAATTGTAGCTAATTTAATGTAGTTTTTAAGGAAGCGAACAGATTTTGAATCGAATCATATTTGAACTAGGAAATTAGGTTTAAGTGAAGCAATGTTGAAAACCACTTTCCAACTTGACAAACATCAATTTCAAAATTTAAAAGCCAAAGCTGGCGTGGATGAAACTGCCGTACTATGGAATACTTCATCTATATTTACGACTGATAATTACATTAATATATTACACTAGCCAATACCCGCTTGCTTTGCGGCGCCCTAAAACACCTTACGAACTGTAAAACAATCATTCAATCGGTTAAGAAGCACGGCAGCAAATGGTTTCTAATTAAAAAATATACACTTAATGAACTTTAAGTTGAAATAACTCTACTACGGTACTACCTATCGTGTCCGTTTTTGGTAGGTTAATTTCTCTTTATATCTGTAATATGCGTACGTGCAATTTCAAGAAAATCGAACCATAAATCGAATTTTTCGAATATGTCAGTCCCTAGTACAGCTAACTAGGGCCAAATATTCCAATCCGTTCAGCTCTTTTGCTTTATTGAGTAACAAACATACAAACTTTCACATTTATAATGTTAATAACAGGTATAGATAGAATATTTTTCCAATAACCTTCAGTTTTCTACATGAGCATATATACATCCTTACCGAATTCCAGTATTCCACCGCAAATACTTTCAGAGATATGCGGTGTCTAAAATGCAGCATATATAGCTGGTGCCACGCCCACCAATAATAAGATACTTTCCTGTGCTAAAATGGAGCCTATATTGTAATTTAGACCTCTAGCTATACCTCGGTGGAAACTGAATTTAATTCCTTGCATGGGTTTTATGGAGAAAACGTCAAAAATTAGTAGTTACTTCCTAACTGGTAAGTTTCATTAATTTAATACATATTGAGAAAAGTGCAATTAATTTCAACATTTGTTCGCGTTTGGGCGTCGCCACTAAGTTAATAACAGTAGCTAAACATGGACCAATTTCTACTCTGATTACGTTAACATTAAAAGGACAGATTTGACAAACGAACGGAACATAGATAATCTTCCCTTCGACATTGCTGCTAGAGGCTAGCATTTTCGGAAATTATTTATTTTTTTCAAATAGTAACTGCGCACCTGAAAGTACATATTTCCCTACCTAGCACATAAAAGCGACATTGTTAAAAACTTCAACAAATTTTAAAGTATGTCAGACCTGATTGTACTCAACATGGCTTTACTTAATCCTAATTTACTAGTTCAAATATAAATCAATTCAAAATCTGTTAGCTGTTTTAAAAACTATATTAAATTAGCTATAATCTTAAGTATTTTAATTTTAGAAAAATTACTACTATCTGGAAAATCCTAACAAATAAATTTAAAAATTCGTTAAAAATAATACCATATACTCACTTTAGGCCGTTTGGATAACTTTCTGGTTGGTTGTATTAAAAAACTAAGTACGCCATTCTCTTTAGCGGCTTATTCTTCATGAGGTTGGATCTCTTTTCTTTCTTGTGCAAGATGAATGTTTTTTGATATAAGGACGTAAACCTACAGCAAAACGGTCTTATAAATCACGGATCTCGGAGTAGCTCGTCCAGTTTTTGCAATAATGAATACTTTTTTCATTTTGTTAAGTTTTTAGCGTCCTATTTTCATATTCTGCTGCCTGAAGGAGGATCTGAAATACTTAAGCAAAATGTATGGAGAAAATAAGGCATCTACAGCGTGGCGACGAATAACTGTTACCCAGGTTTTTTTGAAAAATAAAAGGGTCCTTTACAGGTTTCGGAAAAAAGGTATTTTATTGTTAATTTTCCACAGATTTTACTTTAGTTGTATTAATTAGTTTTTAAATTTGAATCCTTATTTACATTTGCCAGCAGTGTAAACTTTAAGAGAAAAGTTCATTTGGCACGCAATATTCATATTACTCTCTACAAATGTCAATAGTATTTCGGCCGATATATTTGCAGTGCTTTATTTTAAACTAACATTTTGAATACCCTTTCCTTTTTTTCAGAGTAACTGGTGGCGAACTATTTGATCGCATTGTTGAGAAAGGTTCATATACCGAAAAAGATGCATCTGGTCTTATAAGACAAATTCTTGAAGCCGTAGACTATATGCATGAGCAAGGTGTGGTGCATAGAGATCTGAAGGTAAGAAGAACGTTTATTTGTTGTGTTTAAATCATAGGTCGCACAAAGCACGTGGTTTATAATAAAAAGAAATCAATGTAAGTTATCTTTTGACACTTTTAACAAAAAGGAAACATTTTGCTGATATTGTTTAACAAGAAAATTTGGCGAGAGTGTCTTTACGTAGCGCTGTACATACAGTGAAGAGCAAAACTGTAACATGGTGTAACACTTTTTATTTCAGCCACCGCTAAATTTCCAAGTTCTAATGACTTTCATCCTTTTGTTGTATATTCTTGTTGGTACATCCCTACTCCCTCTCTCATAACGATTTGAAGTCAATACAAAAACAATAAAAAAACAAAAATGTAAATTAAGGCAGATGTTACAGTTTTGCGCTCACTCAGTTTTGCATTTGACAGTTATCTCTTACTTAGTTGGAAGTCAGATGATTTTTTTCTATATTGTAATCTATTGAAAAAGTGATCACCATTAAATAACATAGTTAATCAGGAACCATAAATGTAAATAATAGATTTACTGCGGCAAGGCGGGACCGCACGAAAAGTGGCAACAAATTTTGGAATTTTCTACTTGAAAATGTTAAGACTGAGAAAAAATATAGCCTGAAATGTTCCCAAGGACAAAGGAAGTCTGTCAAAAAATATTACGGTACGATATCTTGTGAACTTAGAAGCAAGTAGCGATGCAGCCACTATTATTTATTTTATTTATTTATTTATTGCCAAATTGAGCGCAAAAGCACTATAAAGAAGAAAAAAGCAAATTTGATCATAATACATGTGCGAGTGTGGCAGCATTTCGCTGCATCGCACGAAAACCGAACCGTTGCCTATTGGGATATGCTAGGCCGTTCAGAATGCAATAAAAAACATATTTTTAAGTTTCAATTGAAGGTTATTTGGTCTGACAAGACTAAATTAATCGCTTTCAATCGGATGGCCAGTCATGGTATTGGATCAAAGACCCAAATTAAGCCCATTCGCATCATGTAAGGAAAACTGTGAATCACAGTGGTCGGTCAATAATAGTTTGGGGTTGTATTTAAAAAATTTTGTTTGTCCGTTAGTACGTATTATGCGTAAGGAACAGTATCTGTTCATAAAATTTGCAAGATGTAGTCGAAAAAATGAGAATTTCTGCTGAAAAATCTCTCAAAAAACACTGCACATGTTCGCAATGACCTCCACAATCCGCGGACATGAATCTCATCGAGAATTTGCGAAATCGACTAAAAGCACAGTCCGTAAAATCGAGTACATGAGCTGTGAAAGCAAACTAAGGATATACCTCCAGAATTTTTACTAAAATACAAATAAGGTATGCCAAATCGCATCCAGGAACTGAAACAAGCAAAAGAGTACTGAACATTGTGTTAGTAGTTCTTTTTTTCGTGAAAATTGTTAAAAAGTTCTTAAAAATATATGAGTGCAAAACTGTAACATCTGCCTTAATTTACATTTTTGTCTGCTTTTTTTTTATTGTTGTTGTATTGACTTCAAATCATTATGAGAGAGGGAGTAGGGACGTACCAACAAGAATATACAACAAAAGTATGAAGGTCGTTAGAACTTGGAAAGATAGCGATGGCTGAAGTAAAAAGTGTTACACCATGTTACAGTTTTGCCCGTCACTGTCTACTCCGGTCTCCTTCCCAGTCATCAATTTTCTATTTGCTTCTTTGTATAATAGCTGTGCGGTAGGTGATTCTTTCACTCTCTTCTTAGGTTGCGGTTTCGGTATTCGCACGAAATCGCTTACAGTGCATATCTGCGTACATTATTTAAATGGGTTACCAAAACCACAACATTCGAAAGTTAGGCATTTCGCTGTCAAAGCGCCGTTGCGCGAATAAAATCACTCTTACCGAAACCGTAGCTTTTCAGCAACAAATCTCTCGGTTTCGGTTATCGAAAAAAATTATACCCTTGTTTTTTTTTTATATAAAAAAATATTTAGAGGTCGCTCAAAGTTTTACATGTATTTTATATGGGGAAAAACCATTTTTCGTGGAAATGGTGTAGAATTCTTGAAAATCAATATTTTTCGATCAGAAAATTCTGTTTCTCTTCAGGATACTTCTAATAATAATACCCAATTGTTTATTTGACCATTTTTTTAGTTTAATGTGGCTGCTGGTATACATACTTCTTATATTTAATCCTGTTTGCTTTACTTGTAGTGAGGCGTGTTATTCGAACAATAAATTGGGTTTGCTCCTGTAGTATCACAGCGCACGGCAGTGCGCGCGAGTGACGAAAGCAGCCACAGTAGCATGCTGAAATGACTCGCTTATATATACACGAGATTTGGAAGTATCCAGACGTCCAATCGACATGTTTGAGATATCGTTGGAAAGGTCTTGCAGAGTGTGTCCAGAAAATGTATTCAAGCTTCATAAACGATTAACCGGATTCTTAAAAATTAGGCTAAAGTGTTGCGAAACAAAAAACGTTTTTTTGCTTTTGCCGGTTTAAGGGGGCATGTGAGTACACCCAACATATTTAGTGTTATTCTATAGGCCAATACCTTTCAAACGATACCTTATATATTGAGTTCCGGCTACTAGTTGGAAAGATATAGAGCTAAATGTGTTTTGGTATGTACGGAAATTTTTTTTTTATTTATTCGGAACGTTGCGAAATTCCGTTTACTGCTAGAAACACAAAACAAAAAACAGAACGTTTGCAACGATTCGTATGAATAAAAAAGATTTTCCCTACGTTTCAAATTCAGTTAAAAAATGCATATAATTTTCGTCACGAAATTGATATCATAAATTTTGTGTTTCTAGTTCAGCTTTCGTCACTCGAAAATTTTACCTCAAAGAGGTGTTTTATTTGATATCAATTATTTTGGGGTAGCAAATTTAAAATCGACGAAAATACAAACAATAAACTACACTCAGTCAATAAAGTTTAGGTACAGCGATTTTTTTACAATATGGGCAACTATTTTTTTAATTATTTAATTTTTCGCGAATTTTTTATAAAAATATGGTTAATTCTACAACAAAAACCCCAAAATTCAAAGTTCCAAACCTTGTGCAAAATTAAAGATAATTCTGCAAAATTTCATTTAAATATTGCACTTTTTATTTACGCTCTCTAGAAAAAAGTTGAGTATGCAGTTTTTTAGCCCATTCAATTTTAGTATAATAAAGTGCAAATATGAGGAAGCTAGGACTTAGCATTGATTTTTGGGGAATTTTTTTCTTTAATTTTGCACAAGGTTTGGAACTCTAATTTTTTGGTTTTTTGTTGTAGAATTAACCATATTTGTATAAAAAATTATCGAAAAAAAAAATATTAAAAAAATAGTTGTCCGTATTGTAAAAAATTCGCTGTACCTTAACTTTATTGACTGACTGTAAATGCTTTATTTTTCTCATATAAATTGCTAAAATTTATAATACAGGGAATGATCAAACGATAAGTCATCAACATTCTCTGTTAGATTTCCCTCTATATTTTTTATGCCCATAAAGGGCTTACCAGGTGGTGACATATCTAGTTGTTTGTGTCTGTTTATAACCGTATTATACAACTGGCGTCCTTTGGATTACCCAAGCTATCAATGAAATCACTTTCAGAACTTAAGAACCAAAGTTTTGTAAGCGTTAAGATAGTTGCTTGCAGACAAGCCGTTGCTTTTGAATCTAAAGTACTGTGCTTTGAGCGATTTCTAATGGGCACCGCTGTGCCTCGATGAGCCTTGCCATCTATGTGATTTGTGGCATATAATTTATATATATGAAACATTCTTTTTCATATCGCACACTAAATTTTGTGTCACACTTTCGATTGGCTTAAAATTTTTTTTTATGGTTTCTATATGATCTGTCAAATTTAGCTTTTTTCGTGATTCTAACTAATTATGTACTCCTTAAAATAGTTATATCTCGGGTTCTGCCCATCGTAGAGACTTCATCTTCACTTAGTTTTAAATCTAAAGAAACGGGCTTAATTAATTATTTTCCCTACGTTTCAAAGGCAGTTAAAAAATGCGTATAATTTTCGTCACGAAATTGATATCATAAATTTTGTGTTTCTGGTTCAGCTTTCGTCACTCGAAAATTTTACCTCAAAGAAGAGTTTTATTTGATTTGTATACCTTGTGAATAAAAATTTTAGAAAAAACACTTAAAAGGAAAAAATAACTTTTTATATCAAAAAATATTTTAAACAAAAAAATTGCTAGCCGATTTTTAAAAGGTTGGCATCGTTTTTAAGGTGGTTCAACCCCCTTTCGTCTAATATGCATATTTGCATACTTCGTATATAAAAATTGGAGAAAAAACACTGAAAAGGACAAAATACCAATATGCATATCAGAAGAAAGGGGGTTTAGTCGCCTTTACAACGATATCAATTTTTTTTAAATCTGTTAGTAGTTTTTTTGTTTAAAATATTTTTTTTATACTAAAAAGGCATTTTTTCCTTTAAATGTGTTTTTTCTCAAATTTTATATACGAAGTTTTCAAATAAGCACATCACAAGAAAGGGGGTTCAATCACCTTTACAACGGATCTTTTAAAAATCAGTTCAAAATTTTCTGAAATATTAAGTTTTGAATTTTTCGAAGATCTGACCTTTGACCCGTTATAGCACCTGTAATATAAGTTTTCACAAAAAAAGTTGAATACCATATAAATAAGAAAAAAAAAGCGGACCACGTAGGTATTTTTACAAAGGCCCATATCTCGATTTCGGAAGCTAACTTCGAAAAACGGAGAACTTACTTTTTTTACTTATAACTCAATCTTTTAAAAAAAGTTGGCTTGGTTCAATACCCAGCCGAGTGCTGTATCGTGTAATTGTACCATGAATTATATGTTAAAAATAGTTTAGCCAGTACAGGCTTAGATAAATCAGTGTGGATTTCGATACTATCGACGGAGTCGACTATCGATAGTTTGACAGCTCTAGTGGTAATTTTTAATTGAATATACTCTCATCTCTTTAGCAGAAAAAGGGGCAATTTCCATAAAATCCGTTTCC